GATAAATGTAAACAATGTGACAGTAAATGTGAGAATTGTACAAGTGCAACAGACTGTGAAAAGTGCATTGACGAAAACCGCAAGCCGGTTCCAGGGAAGATGTGCGAAGGATGTAATGATGGGTATTATTTAAGTGAAGAAAGTTGTTTGACGTGTTCGAAGAATTGCAAAGTATGTGAAGACCAAACCAAGTGCGTAAAATGCGCTGTTGAAAATTTCTTTGAAGAAACTCCTGTTGATGGAACATGTGTGTGCATTGAAGGATATGTTTACGACACAAAAACTCAGACTTGCGATCCATGCAAAGACAAATTGAATGAATTCTGTTCTTTGTGTAGTACAGAAAAATGCTCTGTGTGTAATGCAGAGTACCTTGAAGCCAAAGAAAAAGATTGTGTATGCAAAGAAGGTTATTACACGACATCATGGGAAGCTTGTGTGCCGTGCGACAGACATATCAATGGATGCGTACTTTGTGATGGAAAAGACTCATGCAGTAAATGCAAAGATGGGTATACACTTAATAAAACTTCGGGAAAGTGTAATGGAGCAATTAAAATGGTAATTATTATGGTGACTATTGCTCTTGCACTTTTGTTCTAAAAAACGGGGTTTTCTATTTCAATGTTATTTTAACAAGAGATCGTTATCAATTAAAATAAAGATTAATATTTTGAAAGTCAAAACAATTAAAACGCAACAATTTTAACAACAAATTTATTGTGCTTTTTTACACTTTTGATTTATTAAGATATAATCAATTTTAATTAAACAAATAAAACGCTAATCAAGTTTTGTTTAAGTGTAAGTGTATTTTTTTCGTTTTTTGCTTATAAAAGTTATTAAAACGTATTTGTGGTTTTTTGTTAAATTAAAAAATAAACAAATGTTGAATATACTAATATTATAATATAAATAATGTAATTACACCATGAAATAACATTATTTTGTTAATTTGTTATAAAAACATCAAACTAAAAATTTATTAAACCTTTTTTTAGTTTTTTGGTTGTCAAATTACAACAAAAATTGTAAAAATACAAAATAAAAATGGTTTAAAATTTAAAAAGTTCCATTTCTCAAATACCAAATAACAATTATGAACTGTAAAAGAATAAATAATTTACTAAAATACTATAACTTACCATTTAAAATATCAACAAATAAGATGTGTCGAATTTTGATTTATGATAAATTGTGGAATAACAAGATAAAAATAAAAATTGTAACATTTATGCCATAATTATACATTTGTTTCATTATTGATATAAAAACAAAATGATCATTCATTTGTTTTGTATGTTTAATATGTAAGTTAAATAAGTCGATGTTTTACAATTTATTTTTTGAACCAATAAAAATAATTTCCATCAAGTAATGAAAAATTTAAAGAGAACTATCAAAATGTGACTAAACATCACATTTCAAATAGTTTGAAAAAAAATGTTCATCATTGTATTTAATGTTAAACAACTAGTTTGTAGAGTCATTCTTTAAACGTTGTCCTTTCTCCAACTTTGTCCCTCGTTTTTTAGATGTTAACAACTGAAATATACCGGGAAATTTTTCGAAACGCCAGAAAATCATTGTTTAAGTTTTTTTGCCGTTTTTATGATTTGTTACCTAATTTCCTATTATTTAAAGAATTTTTTTTGAAAAGGGATAGTTTGAAGAAAGGACAGAGTTAAAAGACTGACTCTATTGAAAAATTAAAAAAGTAAATATAAAAAACAATATAATGAAATTAAATTAATTAATTAATGTTAAATCAATAATAATAAGCTTTGTGTTATTTTTTAAATTTTTAATAATATACAATTTATGTTTATACACTTTTTAGTTATAAAATTATATTTTTATATTTAATAATTATAAATAACTTAAAAAGGAAGTTTTTAGATTGTATAAAAATAAATACCAAAACACTTAAAACAAACAAATAATTTAGTGCTAAAAATAATAATTAATAATTTAATTTAATATTAACGTTATTTATTATTTTTACAATAAAACATTGTTGGAAAATCAACACAACTACAGTTTTTTCAATAATTGAAACTGAATTAAAAAAAACACGAATACACAAACAATGCAATATGATTGCCAACTTGATATAAACCATGCAATTGTTACAAATAATCAGGATGATTCTGTAATCAAATCATCTCTCGAATCGGCTTCAAAGGATCCAACACTTCTTTATGAAAAATTCATACCACTGTTATCAAACGAAAAAACCGAAACAATTCAAAAATGTAAATATTCAAAATTTGTTCACCAACTCACAAAACCAACACATGCAATAGTCACACCCACTTCTGATAACCAAAAGGGAGTTTTACAAAAAATACCCAAAAAACTAAAATTGACAATAAAAAACACTTTGGCGTTTAATATTCATGACAAAAAGACCAACTCAAATAATTTGAAACAATTTAGAACTTCTTTTTTATATAACAACGCTCAGAACTTACTTGTGCCAAATATAAAAACACCTCTATACAATAAAATAAATGGCGTTAGATTTACCAATAAAAACGATTTGAATATTTCAGGGCTACTTGCGAAGAGTGATGAACTCAAAAAGAAGAGTGAAAAGCTGAAAATTATCAATTTGATGACATGCACACATAAAAAAGAAACTCAAACCAAAGTGCATTTTAAAAATTTTCGTTATATAATCACAAAG